TTTTATAACAGTATTAAGGCAAGATGGAGGCGGAATGAAATTAATTGTTTAGTTGTAAAAGGACAGGAGCTAATTGAGGTGGATGAGATGAAGGAGGGGATTGCTGCATACTTTGAAGAATTATTTACTGAGGAAGGATGGGTTAGACCGACCTTGGATGGGATCCCATTTAAACAAATATCCACAGAAGACAATCAAATGCTGGTGGCACCATTTACTGAGGAAGAGGTGAAGCAAACGATATGGGAATGTGACAGTAATAAAGCTCTGGGGCCAGATGGTTTTCATTTTGGCTTTTTAAAAGCCATGTGGAGCGAAATAAAGAAGGAGATATTGAATTTTGTGATGGAGTTCCAAGTTAACGGCAGAATGGTAAGAGGGTCGAATGCTACTTTTATTTTAATGATTCCCAAAAAAGAGAATCACCAGAAAATCGAAGACTTTAGGCCTATCTCATTGATAGGTAGCATGTACAAGATCATTGCTAAGTTGCTTGCCAACCGTTTAAAAAGGATTTTGGGTAACATCATTAGTGAAGAGCAGTCTGCTTTTGTTGGGGATAGACAACTGATGGATGGGGTTCTGATTGCCAATGAAGTTGTTGAAGAGGTGAAAAGAAGAAGGAAAAGCTGTATCATTTTTAAGGCTGATTTTGAAAAGGCCTATGATAACGTCTGTTGGAGTTTTTTTGGAATACATGTTGAACAGATTGGGTTTTTGCGAGACTTGGAATCTATGGATTCGTGAATGCCTAAAGACAAGTATGGTGTCTGTACTAGTCAATGGAAGTGCTACTAGGGAGTTTGGAATGAGCCATGGGTTGCGACAAGGAAACACATTATCACCTTTTCTATTCCTTATAGTTGCTGAGGGCTTGAATGGGATAATTTCAAGTGCAAAACAAAAAAATATGCTCAAGGGTGTATCAATTGGAGGTAGGGGCTTGATTGTTTCTCATTTGCAATTTGCGGATGACACTGTGATAATTGGGGATGCAACTGAGAGGAATGTGTGGGCAGTCAAAGCTATGATGAGAACCTTTGAGCTTGTTTCAAGACTTAAGATCAATTATAGCAAGAGCCAATTACTTGGCGTGAATGTCAAAAAGAATTGGAGGGAAAGAATGGCAGACTTGCTAAACTGCACTGTGGGGGAGTTTCCTTTTAAATACTTGGGTATACCAGTTGGTGGGAATCCGAGAAGGCTAGCTATATGGCGCCCACTGATGGAGAGATGTAGAAACAGGTTGTCATTGTGGAATGGCCGGTTCTTGTCCTTTGGAGGTAGAATCACTCTTATTAACTCCGTGCTTTCAAGCCTACCTGTGTTTCTCTTATCAATGTATAAAATTCCAAGAGGGGTCATTGAGGAAATAGATACAATTCGTAGGAGATTCTTATGGGGGGGAAGTGAGAACAAGAAGAAAGTGGCATGGGTGTGTTAGGAAAATGTGTGTAGAGATAAGAATGAGGGTGGGCTAGGTATAAAAAAATTGAGATGGTTTAATTTAGCATTGTTAGGAAAATGGTGGAATAGGTTGTTGGTAGGGGGTAACAGAAGAGGGTGTTGAGAGAAAAATATGGGGATAATGAGGGAGATTGGATGAAACGGCTATGTCAAAGTAAAAGAGCAAGGTCGACTTGGTGGCAAGACTTATGCAACATTAATAATGGGTGCCTTCATAAGAAAGAGTGGTTAGGCAAGGGGTTTAAAAGGGTGATAGGTGAGGGGAAAAGAACTAGTTTTTGGAAGGATGTCTGGGTAGGGGAGCAGGAACTAATGAAAATATTTCCTAGACTTTTTTCTTTATCTACAGGAAAGAACAATTCAATTCATGGCATGGGCACTTGGTCGAATGGCAAATGGAGATGGACTTTCTTTTGGAGAAGACAACTCTACGAATGGGAAAAAGAATCAGAAGAAGCCTTGCTAAAGATGCTGGAACATGTACAACCGGTGGAGGGAAAAGAAGACAAATGGCAATGGCATTATGATAAGGAAGGCAAATATAAAGTGAAAGATGTGTACAACTTCCTACAGCCAACTAACAGTGTCAAGGAAACATGCTTCTTTAAGAAAACTTGGAATGCTTTGGTTCCACTGAAAGTTTGTGGGTTCTCTCGGCAATTGCTACAAAACAGGATTCCAACAAAGAAAATTTTGAGGAATAGAGGCATTACCATAAGAGGTAACTTTGGTTCATGTACTATTTGTAATTTGGAGGATGAAAGCTATGATCATCTATTCATTGAGTGCAAAGTTGCAAGAAAATTATGGATGGGATGATTTCAGTGGTGGAATATTTCTTATGTGCTAGATAATTCATGCAAAAATGTGTTTCACCAACATTATCTATTTGGAGGAACAAAAGAGGAGAGGAA